AACTGCACTTATATACACCCTCATCATTTAGAAGGGGGGAAGATTTAAACACCAAAATCCCCCGCACCATAAATCCTGGCGGGGGAATTCTGGGAGTTGAAGTCCACCCATCTTAAAGTTGCTGAGGTTGAGGAACCCTGCCATATAGACAGAATCTTGCCAGTCTAAATCTGTATTACTCTAACCTAGTGGATATACCCTGGGAGATTCTAGGGAGTGGCTATTCTAAATCTCTTCCTCTTCCCACAATCCTGTGTTGTCTCTTGCCTTGCCCCCTTCCTGGAATGTGCTCCCTCCTTCCTGAGAACCTGCTGCATTACTGTGGTTCATCACATCACCTCCCCCTTCATAGACACATTCCATCACAGTCATCTTGAGGTTGCTAACCCAACCTACTGATAGACCTCCAAGTCCAAAGCTGCTTATTAGCTAGAAGACTCTTTGCAATTTAGCACTGAGATAGATTGGAAATCACCTTGCTAAAATCAACTCTGCCTGTCCAGTCTGAATACCAAGGGAGGGCCTGCTGAGGGCCTCCCTACCCTCAAGAGATACTGTATCTGGGGTATGGGCCATACCACAGGCCTTTTCAGCAACAGCCCTATGAGAACTTGTAAGCAATCTGAGAAAGAAACAAGAGGAACACTAGACATACATAACTGGCATATCTCATAAACGGCAGTTTGGTCTCCATGAAGAAGAGATTTAAAAACGTTCAAAGAGATACCACCTTAGTGAACTCACTTATAAAGGAGGGCTGGAGGTCCTACTGCAGTTTCCAAGATTTTGTATCTTATCCCTAATTCTTGCACTGAAACTCCTTATCAAAGCTTAAGAAGTTCTTGCTTCTTTGATAGCGCCTCACTGTATGGGGCTGGAAAAGGACATCTGTTTCGGCATACGCTTCCCCTAAAGGTACATTTGGGCCCATCTTGCCTCCCATATCATAAGGCTGTCAAGACCATCATAATTCCAACATGCCTTTGGATTTGAATGACTGTACGTGACCATACCTATTGTTATTGTGTTAATGCCATTAATACATTAACAATATTGTGTATTTCTTGTTGGTTTATCTTACTTTGTGGAACATTGCCCAGAGTCACAATGGATTGGGGTAAATAAATAGATGCATTTGAAATATTTCTAAACCTATCACCAGGACTCTTGATCAACCTTTCCAGCATTCTGGGTCTCATTATATTGCCAAAATATACATCTGATCTAATACATCTAAAACTGTACCTATAAGCACAAAACATTTGCTCTTGTTTTATTTTATACAAGAGAATTGCAATGGCTTAGTGACCATGTATGACCCAACTCTCTGATGGACTGAGCTCAAAATGCTTCTCTCAAGGCAGAGAATCCAGGAGAAAGCTGAAAAGTAATAGATAACTGTGGCTGACTCATCAAAACGGGAAAGCAGAGCCCTCAAACACATAAGAGGCTTAAAAGTGAGTGACATCATATGATAATTCTTGAATGTTAAAGCTAAGACACCACTAAATCTTTCTGCCTACTAGATTTAATTGAGTCAAATCTCTTTCAAGCTTTAAGAAGCCCCCAAAAAAGCAATCTAGAATTTTCAGGAAATTGTATAGGAAAGATATTGCTCATGAAATATTCCTGACATTGAAATGCCTTTCTGACCTCAAATTCGTATCTTACTATGAAAGATGAAAATAAATCCATTTTAGAAAACTTAATCACGATTATGGTGGACTTTTGAAAACATCAATGCAAATGCCAGACTTTAAAAAAAAAAGATTTTTAATGCACATCCTTGTAAACGGCAATTCACTGTCCTCTGCTAAAGCATTCTCTTTTCCTCTCCCAGAGAGAAGGGTGCAACTAGAAAAATATGATCTCCTATGACGTTTATGCACTCTCTAAAGAATGCAAGCCTGCTTCTTGTTTTGGAAGTCTTTATTATCCATAGGAAAATTAACCGACACACAAATCATATGTGATTTAAAATTTCTTTAATCACACTGCAGTTAGCATTTTTACAACCTCAGCAGCTATTAAATTTATAGAGGGGGAGAGGGAACAGGATAAAGAGGCCGAGGAATCTGGTTTGTGACAGCCAGACAGACCCCTAAATACTTTTCTTAAGAGCTTTCTTCCATATAAAAAAGGGCTCTTCAATCATTGAAATGAATGTTGTTTTAAGACAGAAATAATTTCAGAACAGAATCCGCTTGCCACTTACCTTGGCCCACCAGCTGGATAACACAAAGTATGTGTTCACATTTTCCTCTCCAAACTGCTCTGCTACATACAGGCCCAAAGAGCCATACTTATCATAAATATTTCTTTTCGTAGCATCAGTCAATATTGCATGTGCATTGTTAATCTCTTTAAATTTATCTGCAGCTTCTGGATTATCTGGATTCTTATCGGGGTGATATTTCAATGCAAGTTTCCTATGAAAGAAGTAAGCCATATTTAGGGAAAAAATGCCTAGCAAAGCATTAAATATAGCTGTCGGAACAGTCACATGGAAGTTACTCTTCAAACACCTAGAATTGTGAGAAAAATGAAGCAACCGCTCCCTCTTACGCGCACACACATATACACACCAAACACAAAGTGGGGGTGGGGGGCGGTCAAACACAGACTTCACATTCTGATATACACTCAGGAAGAACTTGGGGCTTCTCAGTGTAGACACTGTAAGAGGGCAGCCATGTTAGTCTGCAGCAGTGTTTCTCAATCTTGGCAACTTTAAGAAGTGTGGACTTCAATTCCCAGAATTCCCCAGCAGCATGCTAAGGTTCAGAAACACTGGTCTACAGTATTCACAGATCAGGAGTCTGGTAACACCTTTTCACATTAACAACGTTTAATTAAAAAAAAAAGTGGGGGGGAAGTGCTGGTCTGACATTTAAAATCCTAAACAGCTTAGGACCAGGTTAGGTGCTTTACCCGGTATATACCTGCCTGGACCTTAGGATCATCTAATGAGGCCTTCCTTCACATCCACCACCAGAGGAGGTGAGATGGGTCTCTACACGGGAGACAGCTTTTTCTGTGGCAGCCCCCCATTTATCGAATTCCCTCCCCAGAGGCTTGACTGGCACTCACTTTTCCAGGTGAAAACCTTTCTATTTTCCCAGGCTTTTTAACTGGCTTTGAATTCCATTTTAATTCACATTATTTTAGTTAATTCATATTATTTTAGTTTGGAATGATCGCCTTGCGACTGCCTAGTTTATATGGTGTTTTTATTTTGCATTTTTTATTTTATTTTACTCTATATATTTGATTCAATTTCTTTTAGTGTGATTTGCTGTAAACTGCCCAGAGATTTTGGCTATGGGGCAGTTTTAAAAATCCAAATAAATACATTTATTTATTTATTTATTTACCCACCCAAATAAAATTATTTTTTTATTTACCTAAATAAATATATGAATATGCTTTGGTGAGCTACAGCTCACCAAAGCTGATGCCTTCCTCTACTGCAAATCTCATAAACATGGTTTATGTCATGCTGAGTTGGGTGGCCTTATAAATCCAGTAAACAAATACAACTGGCCTGATTTACAGACTTCTCCTCCCCCATCTCCTGGTTTTTATACTACCTGACAAAGAAGCTTGGGAGAACTTAGAAACTCACACTCTTTGGCCCTCAGTGGGTATTGACAATCAAGGCAATATTCCGTTGGGACACAGGGAGTCTTCATTTAGTGACCACAATTGGGACCAGCAACTCAGTTGTTAAGCAAAGCGGTCACTAAGTGAAACTGCAGCTGTGCTTATGATCTTACTTCAGCTTTCCTTTGCTTTACAGACTTGAGAAGGTCATAAATGCAAGGACTGGTCTTAAAGTTACTTTTTCATCACCATCGTAACTGAATGGTCACTAAATGAGGCATTTGCTAAACAAGGTTTACCTGTATTACATTTCTCTCCCATGGACCAAAAACAGATAGACAGATTTTCATGAAAATGTTTCTGCTGACCTCTAGTGTATATTTCAGTACATTGCCATTTATCAGTTGTACATCTAGTGAACACCTACTAAAGGTTTGGGCTTTTGAAATTAAATTTCCCAACCCAAGGTTGTAAAAATCACCAAAAGCTTATTGTTCAAAAGATATATAAAACTTAAGTGTGGCAAACAGACTGAACTTAATTCTACAGATAAGACACACTGAGCCAAGAAAAGACTCATTGATGAGTTATGGGAATTTAAAATGTGGAGAATTGACAAAATATGTGTAGATTACAATTTTAACCTATTGCTCTACATATGTTAGATGGGATTTTATGAATCAGAGCCATGATCTGCTGAATTCTGAAAATACTGTTTGAAATAACTAAAACCTGGTGATTGGCTCAAAGTCATCTCAAGATACAACCAAGAGTTTTATGGCGAATAGGGCCTTCTGATAAGATGACAGGTAAATGTATATTCCTAATCAATTGTCAAGTTTCAGCCTTTCTTAAGAGAAAATTTCATACCGTTGGTATTTTGCTCAACAAATCCAAAGCTGAACAGATAACTGAGGGGACATTTCCCTGAAGGAACATACCTGCTCTGTGAATCTAAGAAAACTATGAATCCTAAAACTCTGAAAGAAGGTCTTAATAAGGATATAATTTATTTCTCCAAAATCTAGTGATTTTAGTGGTAAGAAAGCAGATTACATACACTATAAAGAGCCATATTGTTTTATTTTTATTCAATTTTGGCGGTGCCCAACTCCTTATCAACTTAAGAAGGCATCAACAGGCACGACTAGGTTTTGGAGCAACACGGGTGTGCTGTCAGCACCTCCTTACCTTAAACACAGCTGTGAATCCAGGAAAAGATGCAGCTTCTTTTAGGAGGTGTTGACAGATGGGGCACAAACACCCATCCCCACTCCAAAGCACCTTTTCTGCTTTGGATTCCAAGTGCTATTAACATATTTCAAACCTTCTGTAAACATTTCAAACCCTTACCTAAAATGATCTTTCTGAGATGTACCAGGAAAGAAAATAAATTGGTATCAACTGGTGGGAAGCTTTCCAGACACAAGAGAATCAATCTATTTTAACTTTCTCTCTTATGTATCCTCTAACATCTCATTGAAAAACTGGGGGAGGAGCCCTTGTTGGAGGATGTGCTCCTGAGCATATGCAGAATGCTAAAAGAACAGCAAGAAACTAAGTAGCTGAAGGTCCTGTTAAAAAGAAGAGCTCTTCATGGATGCAAAGAATGGACTTACCCTAGCCATAAATGAATGCCATTCATTATATTTGAAGTAAAAGGCTGGCAGGGTCTAGGAGGAAGGCCTTTTCTGCCATTGTCCCTGCCCTGTGGAATATCTTGCCCCCTGAGGTTAGATTGGACCCCACTCTTGTGGCCTTCCGGAAGAGCCTTAAGACCTGGCTCTGCCAACTAGCTTGGGGATCTAATGGGGGACTCCCGACACTGGGAGTGGTTAGTGCTCTGAGGATGCTCTCTCCGCTTTTTAACTCCATTTGTAGTCTTTTAAACTTTGCTTTGTATTTTTAACTGTTTTTATGCTTTTTATGCATGAGCCGCCTAGAGTCACTTGTGTAGTAAGATGGGCAGCATACAAGTCTGATTTATAAATAAATAAATAAAAAGATGTATTAAGAAATATGCAGGATAGGAAAGCCTAACTTCTGCCTAAGCTGCATCTTGAACAGAAGCAAAAGACAGATAAAATGAAACAGAAAGTTATCTCTTGAATGCAGAGATACATTTAACTAAAAACAGGCCAGATAAGAAACAAACATGAAGACTCTTCCCATTTATGTCAGTGGTCCAGACAGGCTCATAAGAGCAGGGGGATGATCCAGACTCCAACACAAACTGTTTAACACTTCAAATTAACACTTTAAATAACATTTACCACCAGTAGATCAGCATTCTCTAAAAGTAGATAATCCCCATCCAGGTTTTAAAAAATACTTTATTCTCGATTGGCCTGAGTTAGACAGAGATCTGGAAATATCTGATACATTTCTAGGAGAGATACAGCAAATATATATTTCGCAATTCATTGGCAAGATTTCTAACTCCCACTGATCAGAAACAGTCAAAGAAAAAGGTGGCCCAATCCCCTAATTACATGACTGAAATGAAAAAAAGGGTGAAGTAATCAGGATAAATTTTGGCACGGAAAGAATAAAAACACAGACCAGCCGTTATGCAGAAAACACATCCTTAGATTTGGAATTATTTTATTCTGTTTTTTAATTCATTTTTGCATGTATGCTTAAGATGATACTAAGGGTAAAATCCAAGTAGATTCGGCTTTTTCTTTTTGCTCTAGACCAGCATTTTTCAGCCTGGGCCTCTTTGTACCTCTTTACCTCAAACACAGCTGGGAACCCAGAAGGTGCCACTTATTGGGGGGGGAGGGCACAACTACTCCAAAGCACCTTTTTTGCTTCAGATTTCAAGTGTTCTACACCCCCATTAAACAAGTTGTTTTACAGCAAAAGCTCATTTTAAATTAAGGTAAGTGATATCTTCAGTTAAAGTTGCAAAGACTTTGGGAAATTGCACTTGATCAATTGTTTGTGGAATCCCTAACCCAAGTAAAGTTAATGGGGGGGGGGGGGGGGGGGGATTCCAACTGCCATATTTTCCCAAATAGAAATAGCTGGTCAGTGCATTTACTGGTCTATACATCAGCTAATGTCATATCAGGTTCTAGAAATTCAGAGAACAAAAATCATGAGTTGAACTGGTTGTATCAATAAATGTTTGTAAGCAACATACTTGTGTACCACTTTGGGAGGCTTAAAACTTGAGATAGTATGCAAATGTTTAAAATGCGTTTTAAATCAATACTATCTTCAGAATGAAGTTCCATCCACTTACCTGTATGATTTCTTGATGTCATCTGACGTGGCATTCTTGTCCAGTCCTAGAACATGGTATAGTGACTCTCCGGATGTGGATAACGAACGCTGCCTCTGGTCTCCCATCCTGAGCTACCCTGACATGAAGAAAAGTATTCAAATATTACATAAAATTGGTTTCCAATCCCCATAAAACTAGCACTCTGCAATATGCAGTGGTGAATTTGGATTAAGAATGGCCAGGCCTCCCAACCCTATGCAGGCATGAAGTTCACTTGGAAGACACCCCAGGATCTTCTTACTGCCTGACCAGCCTTATCGGAACAGGGACAGGATTGATCCCATGTATTCTGACTACTGCTCCATGAAGGAAGGACATGTTTCTACATCATGAAATTGATCAGCTTAATCATAAGCACCCGCCCCTTTTTTCACTGGAAAAATTTTAAAGCACAGTCTTAAACGAACATTACTTCTGTGACCTCAATAAAATGTGAATTTGTCACAATCCATTTGTTCACTTCTAACCACTGATCTCTCATCAAGGTTTTCCAAATACACTCAGCTAGTATGCACCAGCAATGTTTATTTGAGTTCAAAGCATTTATACCACAATTTTCAGCCTGAAAGACTCTTATGCAGAAAGAAAAGGGGACAGGCAGGGAAAGGAAAACTACGTCAGCCACGATGTAATACATCCTGATTTTTCTAGCTGCCAGCTATGGCCAAAATGGGTTGCTCAGGAAAGCACAGGAGACCCCATCATCACTGGAGCACAAGAGTCTGTTGGATGTCTGCTACTGTGATGGTGACTGGTTCCCGTTCTGGGAGATTGCTGTGGTCTGCTCTCAGATCTGCAGCTGGTATATGTGTCTTCTCTTTCTCCCATATGTTCTTCCAGTACTATTCAGTTTCTGCTCTTGGTGGCTCTGCTGTTACTGCATTGTTGCATTGCAGTTGGGAGTACATCTTGGATGATTCTTGGGGAACAGAACATTTATCTTCTTGGCCTCTGCTTCTCTAGTGTACCTCCTTAGCCTGCTAGCTTGTGTTGTGAGCCTTTGTTTAGCAGTCTCTACAGCTTCAGATGGGGTCAGGCTCTTGTATTTTTTCAGTAGCTGAGTCTTATCCTTAATCTCCATACCCTTCTGTAGTTCCATCAGCTGACTAACCTCTCTCCAGGTTGCCTTGATCTTGGCCTCCAATCTCATTTTCCAGAGGGGACTGTACTGCTGTTCTTCTTGATCATGTAGCCAAGCATCTCCAGGATTACAGCAGTTGTAGCATATACCAGTTCATTGGTTTGAGTTACAGTGGTAGCAGGGATTGTTGTGAGGGCTCTATTGGCATCTTCTAGCATACTGTCTGATGGTACTTCTCCACTGAGCCTTGGTAATCGGTCTTGAGGGTTGACTGTAGCTAGTTTATCTTATGCCTCATATCAGCTGCTGTGCTCTGTAATGGAGGGGGTGGCAGTGCTGTTCCAGCTTCAGGTGTTGGCTGCACATCCAGTTGTTCTTCCGGGTCTTCTTGAGTCCTGGATGTAATGTGTAGTTGGTCTATCTCAAGCTGTGAGAACAAATTCCTCTTCACTATGTTGAAGTGTTGTGTAACTGTTTTTCAGTTAGTGTGGATATAGGTCTTCTATCCATCCATAGCCCCCTCATATGTTTCACATATCCCCTCTCATTAGGTCTACTGTTGCAGTAGCATTCCATCAATTCCAGGTTCTCTTGTCTTGTCCATGTATGGTTAGTTATATATACACATACACCTCACCTTGGAAGGCATTTCTGGCCTTGATTGTCTACCAATTGCCCTCAGGTGCAAGTCCATCTCCAAGACTTGTAAATAAGCATGCGACAGGCTCCTGAAAAAATGCTGACTAGTTTTTGGGTGCTTGACAAAGAGAGGCCAAGTGCGCTGTTCCTCCTGCCAAGACCTCCTGTATTTCTGGACCAACCCCACAGGAGGAGTTCTTTTTGGGGGGTAACCATCAGATCTGAAGTTATCTGAAGTAAGTCAGCTTCATAATCTATGATGAAAACTGACAGGTATCAATTAACTCAAATTAAAGCTAATCACAGTTTGTCCAGATTTCCAAACTCAAAAGCTTATATCAATTTCACAGCAAACTTAGCTACATAAGATGATGCCAAATTTATGCTTCTTTAAATAAAAAAGCAGGACCTCAACATTCTTAGAAGCTGTCCCTAAAAATCAATAAAGGAAATTCAGAGAAACCCTTTTATGAAGAATGAACCAACAACCGAACAAGGAGTAAAACAGTATTTTTTTTCAAAGTGTATTTTTGCTTGTATTTTAGCTTCCAAATGCATTTGAACTGTGTTTTTATTTAAACATTTTATGTAACATTTAAATAGGGTCCAATCAAAAAGTAGCACATAGTAAAGAAGAGTCGTTACTCTAACCTCATGGAAATTCAAAGATTAAAATCAGGATGCCACGGATCTGTGAAAAGGGGGTGGGTGAGAAAAACACACCTGCCATGTCAAACTCAACATATATACATTGATTATGTGCCATCAAGTCATTTTTTATTCTTAATGATCACATTGTGATGGAGTGGAATTATGAAG